TGGGGCATAGGAGGTGGGTTGAAAAGGCGGGAAGGGATATCGTTAGGATAGACAGACTAGGGAAGACATTTTTGAGCCACCTTTGGCAAAGTAGAAAGGGACGATTGGCCATCGGTGATCGGTCCTGTGGGAACAATGCTCCGTCCTCTCGAGGACGCGTGGTCAATGTTCTAACCGCTAAGACATGCAAAACAAAAGAGTACGCCCTCCCGGCCCCCCCCCCCCAACCCCCAAACGCCTTCCGCTCACCTGCAGGGCAGCGACTGGTCCGCAGTCCCCCTCCTCCAGGACAACGTGCGAGAACAAATCTTCGTTGCTCTGCTCGCCCATCAACACGCCGGACTCCCTGCTGGTCCCGCCCCACCCCCCTGCCGCCGCCGCCCTTGGCGGAACTCCCTCAGAAGACTGTTGCGCCGCCGTCCTACCGGTGGCTGGGGGCGACGGCTGATGCTCTTGCGCTGCGTGGGCGTGTACTGCCGCCGGCGCGGCCGTGGAGTCGGTGGACACGTCCGTGTGCGCCGGGGAAGCTTGACCGTCATGCTGGACGACAGTCTCGATGGCCTGGTGTCCCGCCGCCACAACCGCCGCCAATTATTTGTTCCAGGTTCGATTGGGAGAGAACAATGGGGGGGGGGCTGCTCAGGCGCCCACCACATTATCGATGTGGTTTGCACATATCAGCTGGAGGAGTTCCTTACGAGCCCCTTGTTTCCTGAGTACTTGTATTGGATAATCAGTACTGCCGATCTTCCAGCGACGCACATGTCTTATCCAAAACAGTTTAAGGACCAGGTCGAGCAGAGCAACACAGAGGAGCTCAAAAACAGGAGTTTGCTAACTTTTCCCCCGGTGCTGCACACATAAATGAGCACCCTACTTTCAACTGGTTCCTCGGCTGTGCCACCGGGACGCCCACAACAATACCTGCTGCGCTTCTGCTTCTTCTTCCGAGACCTTCTTCTTTTTCTTCTGCTCGGCAAGAATATTGCTGAAGTCCCTTCCTCTCCCCACCAGCTCCTCGTAGGTCCCCTGGTCCACGATGGTCGACCCTTCTGCTCCAGGCAGCTGGCCCATCACCACGATTTTATCCACCTTGGGGGGGGGGCGGGGGCTTGTCATGAGAGAAACTCGATAGGGAATATTTTCATTCTTAAAGACCGCGCTGTCGAGACTGTCCAACATTTTGTCAAGACTGGACATTCAAGACTGAACCGTCAACCCCGCCTTCGAGACGAGACACTCCAGTGCCGAGGGCAGCAGCCAGACTCGCGGCAGGATCAAACCACAGCATGCTCATCTAATCCCCCATAGCGGACGACGACATGCATCCGACAAAAAGTCGACAACGAAAAACACGCATAATCTTCAACACGATAGTTGATGCACATGTGCACAAATCACCTGAGGCAGGAACTGCAGCTGGTTGGTGACCAGGATGCGAGTCTTTCCTTGGAGGCTGTCCCTCACGCACCGCTCGAACACTTGCTTCCCCACCTGCATCAAAAGTTCGACCAACATTCATTAACGGCGTTTTTCATGATTGGCTTGGCAAGACTTCCTTCTATTTGAGGCAAGGCTTCACTTTCTGTTGAGGGCAAGTCATTCTTGAGGTGAACCCGCGCAACGGCGAAAAAAAAAACACACAAGAGTACTTGGAATACATATGCCAAAAAACACAACAACTGGGGATAAATACCTTAGGTTGCACTATAAGCCACACTCGGGTCGAAAATTCAAAGGTCGATTACTCGGCAGCAAAAACACCAGCAATAGTCACGGTGCCGTGAATGAGGTCGTTGGAACCGTCTCGCAGAGGGGTCTCCGGCAACATGTCAATTGACTTCGGCATCCTCGCCATCGAAGAGTAAGGGGTCTTTGAAAACAGGCCCAGCGCGTGTGGTATCGTATGAAAATGCAACCTAACGCATTCAACCTACGAACAACAGACCTGGTTCCCACCCAACAGGTAAACCGCAGGCGTTCTTGTGATCACAAACGCACCTCAGCGTCGAGCGCCGACAGCGGGTCGTCCAGCAAGAAGAGCTCGGCATCGCTATACAGCGCGCGGGCCAGAGACAGTCGTTGCTTTTGCCCTCCGGAGAGGTTGATGCCCTGCTCGCCGATTTCGGTCATGTCGCCGTTCTCCAATAGCTGTGCAGCAAGGGGACACGGGGGATCGCGAAAGGGTCATGTAAAGAAGCGAGCATGTCGCCGTTCTCCAACAGCTTTGCATGCAAAACATGCCACCGCCCCCCTCAAGTGACGCCCGACACAACATGAAAAAAAGGCATCGACCGCACGTACGCATCACACATGCCATGGAATAAACCCGCACATACCGTGAATCTCCCACACATGCCCCCTCTCTCACCTCCAAGTCCCTCCTTAGGCGGCAGACATCCAGAACCTTGTCGTATTTCTTCTGGTCGTACGGCTTCCCGAACAGCACGTTGTTTCTCACGGTGTCGTTAGGGATCCACGCCGTCTGGGGGACGTACGCGAGGGCACCCGCGGCGTAGATGTCGCCGGACACGTGCTTGAGGTCTCCCAGGAGGGCCGCAAGAAGGCTGAAGCGAGGGTGGGAGGGAGGGTAGAAGGCATGGTTTCTGGTGTGGAAACTTGTTTTCGACTATTGCAGTGGTTGTAGGAGCGGACGAAAGGACTTGAGGGGGAGGGCTAGTCGCCTTCCAAAAGGCACAAATCAAGCCCGTCGTCGGCGTCGTTGTCCCCGTCTGTCTGTCCGTCGGTCTGTCTGTCTGTCTGTCTGTCTGTCTGCCTGCCTGCCTGTCTGTCTCCATGTCTCATTCTCTCTCGCTTTCTCTGTATTCACTATTTTCTCTCTACTATGATTTGCTATCATCATTCACTGTGGCTTGATGCTGTTGCTCACATCAGCCCTTCTTTATTCACTCCTTTTTCTGGCCCTTTTCACTCCTAGGTCACTTGTGATTTCTTCACGCATTCTCACCTCGACTTGCATCTGTCGCCCCCGCCCCCCGCTCCATTCATCTCTTCTCTCTCACCGTCTACTCCTTTCTCCCATCCCCTGATTGCCCTTCATTTCTCACCGCGCCTTGCTGCTGGTGCTCACCTCAGCCCTTCGTTATTCACTCTCTCCGCTCTCCCTGTCAACTCATTTCATTCGTTGCTCTCTTCATTCGCATCCATCCCTTCACCTCTACGATAACCTGCCGCTGCTGCTCTCCTCACCCCTCCCTCTAATCACTATTTCCTCCCTCACTATCCACTCCTTTCCCCGCTTGTGTCCTGGCTTCTTATTTCCTCACCTCGACTTGCCGGCGTTGCTCCCCCTCTACCCTCTTTATCGACTCTTTCCTCTCTCCCTATTCACTCCGTTCTCCTGATTGTATTCATTCATGTCGACGTGCTGCTGCTGTTCTCTTTCCTCTCTCAGTCGATCCCCTCCCTCATGTGTCTATTCACTCTCCTCTCCGTCGCTGTCCACTCGGTTCTTTTCACTCGTGATACTTTCACCACCTCTACGTTACCTTGGTGCTGTTGCTCGCTCCCTCGGCCTCTCTATTCACTCCTTCTCTCTCCCTATCCACCCTATCCTGTTGTTGCTCTCGCCCCATCTCTATTTACTTTCGTTTCTCTCACGCTTCACTCCTTGCTCTCAACTCGCCATTTGTCGTCGTCATGCACCATACTGCTGTTGCTCGCCTCCTTCCCTCGCTTTTAACTATTTTCTCCCTCTATTTTCACTCCTTTATCCCGACTATTTCTCATTTTCTCAATCTCTACTTGCCGCTGTTGGCCTCCTGCCCCTCTTATTGTCCACTCCGTTCTCTCTACAATACTCGCGATAACTTGCTTTCGCGTTCTTAATCTCACCTCGACTTGCCACTGCCAACCGCCCCGACGACGGCCACGAGCTCTCCCTTCTTAACCTCCAGGGTGCACCCGTGCAGAGCGGGAGGCACTGTGCGACGGGTCCGGCCGGGCAGCAACACCTCCTGCTCTTGCCCCTCCCCGTCCCCCTCCCCTTCTCCGGCGGTCGTCTCGGGATCTTTGAAAAATCACCATGTGTGTGTATACGCCAAAAAAAAAAGTAGCGTAGACGATGAGATTCGAATGCGCCGCTTGCGTACAAAAATGTGGAAGCGCAAAGGACGAGTTTACACTGCAGCGTGGTGCCGTTTGGAATCGCCCGTAGCGTGGTCATGCTTTGTTTCTAACCAATAGATCGGACAAAGTCGGTGAAATTGCGACCTCGATTTATTGAAACTTCTAATACCTCGCTGCTGGATTCAATAGGCTGTACCGCGATTTCTTGACTTGTCTCTCCGCACTCTAGAGATTGTAAGCGACTCAAATGCTCTAGAAAAGACGGCGAAGAAAAACAATGCAATGAACGAAACCGTTACGTAACGCGAATGGTTCTTCTTCGTTGTCTTGCCGAGAGCATTCTGGCTTTAATGCATATCTCCAGGGTACACGAATAGCCAGTCCAAGAACGGCAGAAATGCCAAAAGGATTCAGCAGCGAGAAAAAACAAAATAACTACGATTAACGATGCGCACGACTTTTCCAGCCAGCAATATTCTGCTGAGTACCCACGTTCGTGTCTCGAGTGTCTCTATGCCTTCTACGAGTGGATGAGAGCGATTTTCTTCTTGTGTCATCCACACGACGTTCCGGCGATGTTCGTGTCTTGAGTGACTCAATGCCTGTGACCAAGAGAAACTCGGGTCATTTCTTCTGCCACCCACCAGTCCAGTAGAAAACGCACTCCTTCATGCTGACGCAAACGTCCTCCGGATAAATCTTTCCCCCAACCCCGCCCTCCGCACCCGCGGGGACCCCGTTCTGCCGTTGCACGTATGGAACCACTTCCTCCGTATTCAAGAACTGTGAGAGGCGCCCCACAGAAACCTGACGCGGAAGGAGCGTAGGGGGAGGGGGAGTGTACTAGCTCAAAACGCATGACTTAGTCCGGTAGACCTCGCAACGCTGGGACGAAGCGACAAGCCGGGTCCAAGCTGCCCCCAGGCTACGTGTCGCATGGATGAACCAGAAACGGGGGGTGCGTGCTCATGTTTTTGCATGTCTTGTAGTTTTACCACGAGACCAGATCGAACCAACGCGCCGGCTTCCGGATTGTTTTTTATTGCGCCGCACGTAGCTTTACCACGAGACCAGATCAAACCAACGCGCCGGCTTCCGGATTGTTTTTATTGCGCCGCACCTCCCCAAACACCGATCCGCGCGGGACGAAGCCGTCCAAATTTTTACCGTGGCCTGTTGGAGACGATTCGTGCGGTAAATTATCTACAAGTAGCAAAACGAAGCGGCTTCTTTATTCATGTAGCTGGCCTCCGCTCGTCACAAGGAACGAACCTTGGCGTCAGCGAAAGCGTTGAGGGTGGCGGGGAAGAAGAAGAGCGGCAGGCGCAGCTGGTTGAAGAGTGTGAGGGAGGTGAACACCTTCGAGGGCGTCAAGGCGTTCCCCAGCATGCTGAAAAGAGCAGGCAACGGAGGAGGGGGAGGGACGGGAGGGGGGGAATCCGTCATGGACAAAGAACACAACAGCAGCAGCAGCACCACCAACAACGACGGCAATAACGACAACACCGTTGACCACGTGGACAAGATTCCTGGCACGCTGCAGAAAAAAAGGAAGGAGACAGAAACCGGAGGACACGACCACAACACCTTCCGGGGCGTTACGAGGCCTTTCCCGGCGTGCCGCAGGGCAAAGTGAAGCGACGGTAGGGGTGAGAAATGATCACTCCGAGAAAGACAGACTTGCCGAAAAAAAAATCAATACAACTTATACAGATGAACAGTCAAAACGACCATCACCTACAGCGGAAGTCTCGAGGACACGAACAAACAAATCCGACCTAAACGAGAACATCCCCAACCTACAACAGGGTCCAATAACCAAGGATGCGGACAACATATATCGCGGTAACTGCCAACAGAAAAAATTGTGATCAAAACCGTACATCAAGAACGAGAATTTGAGCATTGTTTTCTGAGTCCCGGTTGAGAAACACTGCAAAAAACCTATATAGCGGCATTTGTAGCCCACAAAGACCAACTAGGCACCCCTGCCTCGACGCTCTTTTGTGCGGGGGGTATCGGTACATATGCACACGCCGGACCCTCCCCCAGCAAACCTGTAGAGGCCGAGCGTTACGGCGATGACGATGGCCGGGGTAGTCGATAGGACCGAAACGACGAGCGAGCGTTTCGTGACCGCCCTCCGGAAGATGCTCAGCTCGGCGTCGTGTATCTTCTCCACCCGCTCTCGGAACGGCGTCTCCCAGTTGTAGAACTTGATGGCCCGGATGCCTTGAAGCATCTCGTTCACGAGCTGGTTTTCGCATGGAAACACAATGAAAGAAACGTGCGGCCGAAAACAAGGTACTACCATTACCGTGGCATCATGGTAAATACCGCGAAACAGGAGAAACACCCGAGAGCGATCGCGGGTTTTGAGCGGCGGGCAAACTGTCGCCGTAAAAGCTCAAAATCGGCAAATCTCCAAGACACGGGAGTTGGCTGACTCTGCACCTCTTGAGTCCATGTCTTGCCCCTTCCGACGCAATTCTCCCGAGGCCAGGTACAGGGGAGAAGCTCCCACATAGCCCCACCGGTAACCTCGGGGTGAGCGCCTTCTCAGGGTCTTATGCATACCATCGAAGAAAGAAACTCCTGAAACACATTAAGAAAGCCCCACCGGTAACCTCGGGGTGAGCGCCTTCTCACGGTCTTATGCATACCATCGAAGAAAGGAACTCTTGAAACACATTCAGAAACTCATTTCAGAGCTGGAGTACGTACGAGCCCACGAACGGCAGACAAATGACCGTACTCCATTTTTTGGCGGCCAAGGGGGACAAGAGATGGCGGCAGAACCAGCTCTCCAAATTCTCGCGCTGATCACTGCCACCGAGACGCTACTCATCAATGAGGAGGCGGCATCGGCGACGCGACTGATTCCTCGTCTCACCTTGACCCTCAAGTCGGTTTGCTTGGACATCTCGGCCCTGTAGGTGCTGAGCTCGTTGAAAAGAGCCGTGTTCAGCTGGTCGTGTTCCGGCGGATTTTTGCCGGCAAGTCCGGGTATGCCCGGTGGACGAGAAACGATTTGTAAACGTTGATGCGAAAAGATCAGAGTGTCAGGGCGACAGAGTGACAAAGGGGCGGCGCGGAGGCTTCGAAACGAACATTGCGCTCTGCGCATCTGGAGATGGTACCTCTTGGATAAGTTGGAATATTACATGAGAGTCGCACCAGGTGTTTCTTCCCACCCCCGGATCGGTTGAAACAAACCTACCCGCTGATCTCAAAATGAAGGGCGAACATACACAGCGCGGAGGGACAGCAAGCAGGGGGAATGAAACAGCGACCATTCCGCTCCGGGATCTTTCAAAATCCTTTGATTGCGGCGCTGCTGACAAGCAGGTGGTAGTCCAGCAAGTCCCTCCTCACTTCCATCACAACGATCCGCTCTGGTATCCACCCCCTGTCGCCCAAAGAACACCAATACCCACGAAAAACGGCTACCACCAGAGATTTAGAAACGACGGGTTCACCGGAATGAGAAGAATCATGACGCCAATACCAGCCAGGACGGAAGGTCCGAGGCAAAGCAAGAGCAGCACCGTGTATCCTGTCATCTGCACAGGACAAGAAAGACGGGTGGACGGAGGTATCAGACTGTGGCAGACGACGGCGCCTGTGGATTGGGTCGACAGGGTTTCGGTTGCCGCAAGAACGGAGAGACGCTTGCGATACCCGGGTCACCCCCCTTTCAACGTAGGCCACCGCACCGCCGTCGTGTTAGCGCGATCAACAGCTTGACGACGGTAGAGCAGCCGACGCTTTTCAAGGCAGCCGCCGAAGTGCACAGCGAGACAAACACTCGCAAGGAGGCGCGTGTCGGACGTCCTGACGAAAACAAAAGATTGTCACCAGGAGTGAACGCCCTACGAGGATAAGGGGGGACAATGTAGCAGGAGACACAAAATGCCATTGCCCTTCGTGATACCCTACAACCTCACGAGCGTGGTGCGGTACGGCATTCCAAGTCCATCGTCCGAGACTTCGTTCTCGCGGGTATCGTCAAAACGCCACCTTGGTTCCAACAGCCATGAAAGGCACGAAACCCAAAAAACAATCGACAGCAGTGCGGAAAGGGACGGAACAGCAACAAGCAAGCTGCATGCGACGGCAACTCGCTCCTTCATGCAACGGCGGTGACTACTGCCACCTGTTCTTGGCAGCAATGTTGGGAGCGTACATTACCACCACTACTGTAGCATCGGCGAACTAATTCACCTGGAAAACGGAGTCCCAGATGGTGTGCACGCTGCCGGCCAAGTTCTCCAGCCTTCCCGCGTCTATCTGCATGTAGTTCACGATCTCGCCCACCGTCGCGTTCTGGCGAGCGGACGGCGAGAGCCGCAGGCTCTTCCGGTACACCGCCTGATCACGGCGTGCAAAGAAACAGCGGCGGCGGCGGCGGCGGCAGAACAACAAGTTCCGTTCACGTGAGGGCGATACCCGCGTTGGTTTGGGGTTGGCATTACGGTCAAAGAGGCGGGGTACCAATCATGTTGTGAAAGACTCAATTTGTATCTACGTTTTCTGAGAAATTCTTGATCGATTCACTTCGATCACCGTGCGCTCTCCGTTCGAACGGCAACGGAGGGCTTCGCCGGCAAGTTCTCCGCCGCGCGACCTAGCTACTCCCACGCAACCGCTACTGCTGTACCTCGATACGTCTACCACCTACCTCCAAAAACCACAAATATACCATAGACGACATAAGACCTTTCACCCCTGGTATGATTTTCAGAGCTCGAGTATTCCACAACAGAAAGAGTGGCCGGGCCGAAAATGGAGGCTTTGGAACCGTCTCGTCGATCGCTTTGCGAAAACGAATCGTTTCATGTGTACATTCTCTTCGTGGCGGAGTAATCGCGCCGTGAAAACCAATCCAGGGAAACTAGTTATACCTGATGTTGCCAACGGTACACAACAGAAAAACATCGGCAACACAACGCAGCTATCACCGTGCTGAGGACGCCACGCGTGCTGGTGCCGATGTTGTTGGTGGCGTAGAAGTACTGATTCTCGATGGCCGTCTTTAGGGACACCGCTGCGAACAGCATGGCGCAGATCGTGTAGGCCTTCTTCACCGCCCCCGCGCCCCCGGCCGCAATGCCAGACTCGAGAAGCCTTTTCGTTTTGCGTCGAAGCGCAGGAAGCGAGGAAACGTGCATGTATGTGAGATGCGCGTGTATGTTTGCGGTGGATGGCTGCTCCTGACAACCAGTCCCCAAGGACAAGAAAAGGCGAACGCGGGCCCTGAAGAAGCGTACGCGCGGACACACCTACACCCCTCAAGCCCTACCTACCGCCCCGGGTGAGCAACAACAAGGGGGCCCCCGTAGCGCGGGCGCCCGGTGTACTAGAACCGGTGAAATCGCGCGGCACGGGTGCAAAAGTCAAGTTGCTCAACATCTGGCGGTGCCCGGTACAAGGTCGACGAGATTAGTCGGCACGACGACTATAACAACAAACACACCTCAGCAGGCGCTGCACCAAGATAGCGGGCAGAAACTGCACCGACGTGTTCATGAACCGCAGCGCCCCCGCCGTCAGGAAGGGCTTCCTGTACAGGAGGTAGAGCGAGCGCATCAGGGCCGTGTCCAGCAGCCCCGGCACCAGGGGGTGACGCTTCCTCCAGATACCCTCGCCGGTGACCACCGCGGAGCCCCTGCCCTTCCCCTGGCCGTCCGACCCTTGGTGGACGGCGGCGTCAGCGGCGCTCTCCTTCGCGTACGCTGCTTCGAAGGCGTCCGCGACGGACTGCATTTGTTCGTCTTGCGGCATCTCCCACAGGTCCTGGTTTGTGGGGGTGTTCGTCGAGATATGCACCGTCAGTAAGGGAAGCTTGGGCAAAGAGGGTTGGGTGTATTCATCTTTTGCATGCCAATGAGAGGATAGACCATCGACCGCGCGTCCTCGAGAGGACGGAGAATTGCTCCCACAAGAACGGTCACCGATGGGTAAAGAGGGTGGTGATTTGTCCTGCCTCTTTTCGGCTCCATGTGCTTTCATCTGTACATTCGGCATAGACATAATGGCGTCGCGGTTTTAGCCGGGCACGTGCTCATCGTGAGGTGTCTCTTCCCTAGGTCCGCGCATGGTATTCCTGAGCGCGGCACACCCGCTCGTATAACATGATAAAAAAACAACGGACTTAAATGTCGATGGATTTGCACTCGACTTCCGCGGGAGGAAGAGAGGAGGGATGGATGCCGCGATGCGTCCAGTGGCCATGCTTACATCGTGTCTGTCGCGGTCAGTACGGCGCAAACACGAACTGGAGGCAGCAGGAGGTTTCGCATTGCGTCATTCGCTGCGTCCAACACGGTTCGTTCGCGGCATCGCCTGGATGGGCGACAGGCACAACACAAACTATAGTACTGAACGTTTGCCAAGGTTGTACCCGTTGACCACGGACACTCAACCTCCTCGGACAGGACGAGGGGAGGACAGGCTGGATGGTACACGACGACGACACCAACGACAACACCAATCCCAGCATGTGCCACGCTGTGGGGTCCGTGCACAGGCAGTGCGTGTGGTCGGCAGCTTCGCTCGCAACAAAACGCGCTAGCAGGAAAGTGTGCCGATACCATGCATCCTGCTATCCGGGCCCAACAAAACTACACTGGCTGTGAAGCATGTCCGATGACCGTTACCGAGACCACACACAAGCGCCAAAAAACCACTCTGGTACATGACGAACTTAGGTGACGGCGACTGCCGGGATGTCGGCAAGCAAGCAAAAACCCACCTCCTCGGCGATGGCCTTCTTGTTCCCTCGAGCCATCAGCGGCCCGACCCAAGCGAAGAGCAGCTTCGACACCACGCCAGCTGCCGCGCAAGAACGATTTGAGAGGAAACCGAGCGAGCGTGTTGGCTGATTGGCTGACGCCCCCAGCATGCCACGAGAGTCGTCTCAAGCTGGCTGTGCCAAAGCGCGGAACATCGAGCAACTCCTCAAGTTGGGGGCAGAGCGGCAACAACAACAACAACAACAACCAACAACCTCTCGGCCACAACACGACGGTGCAGCATCGGTCCTCGCACATCCTTTGGGGTAGGAACTTCTTGCGAGTAGACGGCGCTTTGCGTTCCTCACCTTCCGTGAAGGGCACTTGTTTTCGGCACGTCGGGCAGTGGGCGTCGGCATTGAACGTGCTGGCGTTGCCTCCGGCCCTAAGGCTCTCCAGGTCCACGGCCTCCTCTTCCCGATGCTTGAGGACACAGCGACATTTCCCCCAAAGCGGTCGCAGATACAGCGCGTGAAAAAAACGGAAGAAGGCGTTGTGGTTGCTGCGCTTGTGTGGGTACGGCTGAGACACTGCGCATCACAGCAGCGGTGGCCTTTGCGTACAACAGCGGCAGATCTAACGGCTTTCTCTGCCCGCTCGTGCTCGAAAAGGCACGAGCCACGATACATGAAAAAATTGTTTCTCTGTCTCGCGCGACATGCAACATGGGTAAACGGAGTTGAGGGGTTCGCTGGCTGCTACAAGTAGACGTTTCGGGTGTGGTTTCGGCGGTGGAATGCGGGTGGACTCGCATTGTGAGCACCGGAGTTGCGTGGAGGGTGGCTGTTGAGTTATGTGGCTATATTGGTGCTGGTGCCATATGCGCTCGACGGCGACCCCCCGGCCGTAACCAGTGGCCGTTTCCAGTGTTTTTAGCCATCAAAGACTTAATGGCAAAGCTAGCGTTGCATTCTAGTCCAGGCCGATACCTGCTGATTTTCCCACGTCACTCGTGTACAGGGACACTTCACTCGTTGGCGCTCTGGGTAGCACGCTAGCGAGGTCCGACGCGTAAAACAATGGCACGTGCACCGTCGCGTACAGGGCAAAGGCCCGACATACACTGCCTCCGATCTCGCTCTAAGAAACATTTGCGCGTAACTCTCGGCATACACGCACAGGGGACACATACACACCTGACCCGGGTCGTACATCATCTGGCTCCCCGCCGCTGCTACGGCGACAGGCGGTGGCGCAGCAGCACGCCCTCTCATCTTGTTCAAGACCTGTCGGAAGCGTCCCCGTGAGTGCCCCCCCTTCCGGTCATCCTCCATCGCACACTCGAGCGCGCGAGCCCCACCCCCAGAACCGACCTCATCGCCACCACTACCACCACCACCTCTGTTCAAACCCAAAGACTCACAACCATCACCACCACGGTTGGCAACGCCACGCTGGTCCAAGTTCCCTCGGTTCAGAAACGCCCCCGCGAGGATAGGCTGCGACGCGACGGCTCCGGCCCGCGTCCTTCTCACCGAGGACGTCGCCACCAGCCTGCCGCCGCCGCCGCCTCCGCCTGCTGCCCGTCCAGACGAGCGGCGCTTCGACTCCGCCGCCGCCGCCTTTGCCGAGCTCGGCGTTACGCACAAGACAAAGCAGCCGCGCGTCGAGTACTCGGCGAACCCGCGGCGCCGGCCTCCGCCGCCGCTGCCGCAACTTGCACCCCTGCTGCCGCCGAATCCGCCGGGTGCGCCGGCGGCGGTGGGGGCAACACCGTTGAAGAGCCCCCCCGCCTCCACCGCCGCCGCGGCCGGGTGCGCAGCGGCGGCAAGCAGCAGCGAGCAGGCTCCCGCCATAGTGGCGCCGACGCCCGCACGTTTTCGCTTCCCCTCAGCGTTTGTTGGCATCTTTCGTGGTGGTGGTGGTTGGGGCTCTGGGCTGTTGTTCCAACAACGGTAATAGGACCCTGGGAGCATAATTTCCTTCCCTCTGCTCCTTGGAGCTGTGTCGTCTACAAGAACGGTAGACTAAATCTCCTATTGCCGAACAAAACCATGCAAAATTGCGAATTGGTTCCAAACATTGGGAGAGTGGGGAAAGGTGGGGAAAGGTCGCGGTTGTTTACGTGCAGTCTGCGTAGTACAGAACCCAGGGGAGGGTGTTGGACCTGCAACTTGTAGCTGATGCTCTCTCGCTGGCACAGACGATAAACACGTGTAGGCACAGCAGTTGGGTGCAGCTAGCTGTGCATGCGCAGCAGTGACAATCGGTAATATACTGCCCTCGGACGATCAATCAGCATGATCGGCGTCAGTGTGGTTTAACTATCTTTCAACCGGGTCCGATGCTGGCGGTCTTCCGAATGTTCTTGATCACAGCCAAGAGGAAATGCAGCAGTAGCTACGGCTTCAACGCAAGCTCTTGGCGCCAGTCCAAATGAACCTCGTCAGAACGCTGCTGCTGTGTGACGCCTATGACGCTGTCCCTGCGCGTCAACTGCGACATCAACAACATCAACCACAGCCCGCCGCGACCTATGCTTCCAGAGCTACACGCGTACAGGCTACGTCAATCAAGAAGTCTAAACACTCACCCCAACGATTGACAAACGATGAACCTGACCCCGAGAATGTGAGGGAGGCTAGTCGAGACCGTGCTGCAGCAGTGTGCTCCACGAGGTACGGTGCTGGATAGCTAGTGCTGGACATCGGAGAACCCGAGTGGGGGGTGCGCGAATGGAGTGTAAGGGGGGGGATTTAGTATCATGACCTACACATATTTCGCGCACTACAACTGCGGTCGGTGGTGTCTCTCGCGCACTACAACTCAGCTGTGGGCTGTGGGGTGGGGTAGTTGTCTTTTGTCGTGCGTGGCAGGCGCGCCCTTCGAGAGCACACACACACATGCCGCGGGAATAGGAGGGATCAGAATGTGCGCTATGCTGGTGTAGGAAGGCCTCCAAGGTGTGTGGGTGGCAAGAGCTGCAAAGCGTGGCCCCAGCCGTGGGATACTGGTGTAGACTACACTGCTGTAGACGCGTCCACATCACCATTGGAGTGTGGGCGGAGGAAAAGACGAAAAGTTGACCCTGTTATACTCACGGGGGAGACATCGCTGTGCACTGCTCGGGAAATTGTGGACATATAGGTAGCCTTCGCTGACGCTTTGGATCCATTGCTAATCTGTCTTACACGCTTTCTAAAGATGGAGATGGATTCGTTGGTCACATGCACAGTCTAGCTATTCATATGAAGAAAAAAAACAAACTGACGTTTAGTCCAATATTATGCCTGCGCTAGCGCCCATGTCGCTGGTGCTGGTGTTGTTGCTGCCGTTGTTTGTTATCTCTCCACGCTTGTCATTTAACGTTGCAGTTGTTGCTGCCCGTCGTACCCTGCTTTTGACACACCACACCACACCTCACAACATGTAGAGCCAGAGATGTGTGATTTCGTGAAATAGTTTACTGGAGTTAGGTCATGGACTACACTTGTTTTGACCTGGTGCCAGGAAAATCCCCTCAAACCCCCAATGAGTCTGATCACCAGAGAACAGCAGTTACCCGTTCACTCCGTTCATCCCTTGCTAGTGATGCAGCGGAAACAATTGTGTCCATGTTACCAATCAGGTCCCTCCGCTACACCGTATCCTCTTCGGGTCGTGTGGAGGATGTCGTTGTGGATGGTCTGATGATCAGGGCGACTCGTGCCTTGTGTGTCGTTGCCTTTCGCCGAATGTCACCAGTTGGAGTCTATCGGACACTGCGCACGCACGGGTGGCCACAGCAGTAGCCGCAGTACCGCATGCAGCGATGGATTATGGTGACCGACAGCAGCGAGAGGCATGGTTCGCGGCGGAGGCAAGCCCTTTCCTCTCCAAAATGGTCGAGGTGACACATGATCCCGGTTTGTCGAACCTATGCGTCGAAAGCTACATAACTCTTTAAATCTTTCAGGAGCCTGAATATCAGGGCGACGAGTTCATTGCGTGCGCTCGTTCACAACAAGAAGGACACGCAATGGCACAGGCCACGTCGCTGGGTGTACATAAAAAAGTTTGTTGCACGCGTCGTCGTTAACGAGTCCCGCGTCAACCTGTCGTACTTACTTGCCCCTGGGCAGGCCATGGTAATCGAAAGACCCGACAACCCCCGCGCTTGGGTTGCGGAGTACATTGGCCGAGATGAAGGTACTGGAAGTGGAAGCGACAAGAAGGACCGAACACACGTTCCCCGGCGAGGCAAACGACCTGAAAACACCGCCAACAGCAGCTGGGGTACTCCTCGCGCACTGCTACCCACCACAACCGCCGCCGCCACCGGTGGCTTTGCCGCCAAGGCTATCGATGTAAACGCGTACGGAGAGAGAGTGGAAGCCGACACCGAAGAACCGGAAGATGTTTCCGACCTCAACACTCTCCTCCTCCCCTCCGGAGCCTTGCCCCTGGACGTGGAGCGCTTCAGCGTCAGCTACTCGAGAGCCCTGTTAACGGGATGGGTGAAGCAAGGGTCCCCGTGTTGCGCCGCCGCCTCCGTGGCCGGCGCTTGGAACGCCCTCGGTGGCTTGCCGCGGGGATCGCACGGGGCGCTCAATAGTGAGTCCGTGCTGCGGGCCATGCGCACCGTGGTGCAGGGGCAAGTCGCCGCCATGATTGCCAGGTATCCTCTTTTCTGCGGGTGCCCACCGTATCATGCCGCACAACAATCTGCAACAGGCGTGTTTCTTCCGTCTGTACAACCCCCAGAGGCACGAAAGATGCATTTGAAACCGTTTTATTCGCTCAAGAATAGCGCCCGAGGCGATTGAAACACAGTTCGCTGCTGTGACGAACGGCGCAAGCCCGACAGAGTTTAAACTCCACAGCTGTGTTTGTTTGGGCAACAACCGTGGTCCTCTTATCAACTACGCAGCAACGACTTGTTTTAGTCTTTCCCGTTACATGTTGCGCGAGTGGTTCCGCAACAGCTTACACCAAACATGTGTTACTGGAGGGAGAAAACAAGTATCTCGAAACGGCGAACGTGATCCGCCCTGGTATTTATTCACAGGTTCGAGAGGCTCTTGGGAGGAAGCTTGGAGCCCCTCCTCCAAGTCCTTGATGCCGAGCTAGCGCTCGAGGGTAAGCACCTGGGTGGTAAGGGACCGAGGGCAGCCGTCGCGAACGGCCCCCATCTCCTGCGCCTGACGCGAATCGTCACCTCGCGAGAGCGCGAACGAGTAGGCCATTCTTCAACATTCGATCTCCTGTGGGAGCTGTACGAGGACGAGAGGAAGGAAGCCGCGGAGCTCGCTGCAGCGTCGGCTGCGGCCGAGGCAGCGGAAGCTGTGGCAGCGGCGATCTTGGCGGGCTCCGCCGCAGCGGCTGCTAGCAGTAGCACCGCCGGAGGGCTGGACCCCGAAGTATCGGTGGAAGGCGTCACGAGCTGTGCGACGCAAGCTACCGCGGTGGGTGGCGAGGAGGTCGGCGGGTCTGCTAGTCAAATCCAAGCGACGGACGGTGCGGAGAGGAAACGTTCGCAGAATGAACACGAGGAAGTGGACGACAGCGGGATTCTCGGAAAAGCTAGCAGTTCTTTTTCTACGGGAACAGCGAAGATGACCACCACGCTCGGAAACCATAACTTTCCTCGAAGACCGTCCGCCGGGCGTCCCAGAAGCGGCGGTGGAGGAGCTAGCACCGCCTCTGAGTGTAGACCGGGAACCGCGCTCAGGCGTCCTGTAAGCGCCGGGGACCTGATGCCAGCGAGCTGTGTCGCTGAAGGGGAGACTGGGCAAGGCCTCGGCGCGGTTCGACGATGCTGGGAGAGCGGCGAGAAGGGCGTGGGCCGAGAAGAACAGGAAGACGAGCAGGAAGGCGTCGAGGATGAAGACGAGGAGGACAGGCAAAAGGAGGAGGAGGAGGAGGAGGAGGAGGAGCAGGAAGAGGAAGTTGGCCAGGGAGTTACTTCTAGTCGTGTCAGGCGTGGCAGCAGCTTTCGTAGCACGATCGGGGGGAAACCCGCATCTTCGGCGCGTCAGCAACGCCGCAGAAGCAGCAAGAAGGACACCAGAGGCTACCGGAGAGGGATAAGCACAAGCGCCGGGGCGATTCACGGAGAACGGACAAAGTGGCGGTGGAAACGTGACCTGTGCATGCTCTTGAAGCGCATAGGGGGACTGGACAAGGTAGATTTGTAATGGAGAATAATATAGACACAAAGCGCCCGGACTACACGTTGCTCTTATCACCAGAAGTTATTGTCGACCTCGCAGCCGTCTGTGTTTTTTTTATTGCATAACTACGAAGCGGACATGAGTGTCAACAAAAGCACCTCTGATTGTAGATGTGTATGTGTGTCCCGTTCGAACACTATGCGTTCTGTCAGTCCCAATTTCGATATCTGCGAACTTTTCTCCTGTCGATTTATCAGTTGAGCGCGACCAAGCCATCGACCGGAGCCATCGGGAACCTGGGGCTAATTTCCACCGTTCGCTACCTAGATGGGGAAGTGCCTGGAAACGTCGAGGTGCGCAGAGCGCGCGAAATGTATGACAGTACCTTCAACGACAAACAACTAAGAGTGCTGAGTTGTTGTGCAATTGCGATCCTTTTTCTTTTTTGACGATTTTTTGCTGTTTCGATTGGACGTTATTGTTTCAGAGTACCGTTGCAGCAGGTTACGTCAATGGAAGCATCCAAAAATCGACTTAATGGTCGATTTCCCGAGTCTCGTTCAAAGAAACGAAACAAGGGTCTTGAGCATTCAATTCGCCTCCGTTGCCATTGGCGGCGACATTACGCGGGTCTCCAAAGCAGGTAACGGCGAGGCTTTTCATGGGAAAAGGCAGACGACGATCTTGTCGGCTTCCCGTGCCAC